TCTTTATCCTCTCTATTCACAAGATAATGCTAAAAATTATTTCTTCCAGAGACCTCTTTCTAACCAAAAAAAAAAAAAAGTCCTAATAGTAAGAGATTTCAGACATGAGGAAAAGAAGGCTTGGAATCTCAAGAGAATAAACAACATTTTATTCAGTCTTGTTATTTCCAATGTGAGAAGATGAAACCCCAAAGAGGTGAAGTGACTCACCAAGGTCACACAGCCAGTCAGCATCATGCTTTAACCCAGCCTGTCTAACTTCTAGACCTACACTCTCCTGTGGAAAAGATATTTGAGGTAGACATAACATTTTAGTTTGGTGAACTATATCTAGTCTTGAAAATAGAATACTGACAATACAAGATTATTGGTTCAGAAATAAGATACAACACTAGACAGAACAAGGTGATTTGTCAGAGTAAATGTGATATTCACAAAGGAAGGTAAGAAAATCTCTCAAGACAAATTTGTATTTACACACAAAGCTGATGAACACAAGGATACCTATGTAAGCAAACACATTGCAATAAATGTTTTGGGGGACTGTTATGTGTTGAACTAAAACCCCCAGGAAAAATATGTTCAGATCTTAACCTCCCCAGAATCTGTGAATGTGACCTCATTTGGAAATAGGTTTTTGCAGATGTATTCAAGTTAAGATGGAGTCAAGTTTGACTAGGATGGGCTCAAATCCAATGACTAGTGTTCTTATAAGAAGAGAGAAACTTGGTCATGGACACACAGGCAGAATGCTATGTGAAGACAAGAAGAGAATGAAGTGATACATCTACAAGCTAGGAAACAGCAAGAACTGCTGACAACCACCAGAAATTGGAAGAGGTGAGGAAGGATTCCTCCCCTAGAGCCTTCAGAGACAGCATGGCCCTGCTGATACCTTGCCTTGGGACTTCTCGCCTCCAGAACTGTGAGAAAATAAATTTCTGTTGTTGCAAGCTGCCCAGTTTGTGATACTTGTTATAGCAGCAATAGCAAACTAATACAGTCTGGGGAAAATGGTTGGGTAGAAGTGAAGAGTATAGAATCGTGCAAATAAATGCCAAGTTCTATGGGCTGGTTCTGCATCAAAGCTGTCCTGCCTAGTATGGTTCTCCATCTACACTATTTCATTCATGAACTTCCAGTCTTGCTCAAAGGTAGGTGAAATGCAGGAAGAAAACCACAGGAGTCAAACCTGGATAGGAATCCACACTCTACTGCTTACTAGTTGTAATGTAAATGCAAATCCCAAACCCTTGGGGTGTCAGTGTCCTGACCTGGAGAATACAGTCTTCTTCAGAGCATTGTTGTGAGAACCTCTGAGGTTACTTGGAGAAGCTCTGTCAGAGTCAGTTTCTTTGCTTCTGCTTTATTTAGTCTTTGAAGCAGGTTCAGGGTTGGGGTGTGGTGGGAAAAGGAACTAAACATTTTAAACACCTCCCATGTGAAGAAAGGAGTCTTGGAGTCATTAAACACTCATGATAGGAGACACTTTGAAGAACACAGAGGGAAATTCTCTCATTTTAGAGTGAGAGTGCTGATCACATTATGTATTTTCTACACTTACTGCAGATTATGTTGGGCACCTTGGAGACCTTTAAGTGAGTGACTGTTGATGACTGAAGTGCCTTGGGAAGACCTCATTAAGAAACAATACTTACTTTTATGATGAGAATGAAAGTCACCATTTGACACCACTTAATGGACTTCAGCCACCTCACTACTTTGTCCAAACCAGGGCCTGACTGTCTCATTCCTGGCTTGGTATCTCTCAGAAAATGGTTTGCCAGGACGTCTTTCCAGAGAGACTTCAGGGGGTTCAAAGTCTAAGCTTAAAAATGAAAGTTACTCAGGTTGCAGGTGCCTATCTGTTGAGGATGCCCTGAGCCTGCTCCCTCTGCAGGTGGGAGGTGCTTAGGATTCATAGTGCTTCTTAACTGTGTTACTAATTTTATGTCATAATACCAATGGAAGTCCTTTTCTAAAAAGACGTTTAACCCAATGTCAATGCTAACTTAGAGTAGATGAAAAGTACAGTCCCTATTGCAAAGAGAAAAGATGCAAGAAAATGAAAAGAAGCTATAACATTACCGGTTTTATACCCAGAAGGAATATATGCCTTCTTCATCCAGGTGCTGCCTATTTCACTTACCCTGCATCATTGCTCTCCGTAGCACTCACTGCCCTCTGAAAAATCGACTTTCTTGTTTTATTAGGCCCCAACTCCATGCACTAGAATGAAAGTTCCATTAGGGCTCACACCTGGTCCGATTTGCTCACGGATGCCCAGAACAAAAACTAAAACAGTTCTTACCACACAATTGTTTCACAGTCCATACTTGTTGAATAAATGAGTGGATGAGTTGGCAAATAAGTTTGGGCAGGGAGGGGAGCAGTTACATGTCATGGATATAGACTAGACTATGAGGCAGATTTTGCCTACAAAATTCTGCCGCCCCTCCCCTCCCGCCCAGTCCACTAGCCATTAAGAACATGACTTCTGGATCCAAAGACATCATCATTAAGCAAGCACTGACTTAAATCTTCCTATGTGCTTTTTCCTGCAGATGAGTTACATGGATCACAATTGTGGTTCACTTGGTATGATATTTTTTCACTGTATATTAATAGGTTGGCATTGCAGCTTTTAAAAAGGGGTTCATGTCTCAAAAGGATTCTTAGGACAAGAACATCGATCAGGATGAGAACCTGTGGGAAAGAGCACCAAGAATGATACACGGGAGACTTGGGTTCCAAATCTCAATCTGCTTTGGACTCAACATGTGGCCTTAAAAATTACTTCTTTAGGGTACAGTTTCCTCATAGAGGCACTGATATTGATAAGTTGGTGAATAGGATCCTTCTAAATTGCAAAGTTAGGATTGTATAAAAATTCAAGTAAGCTCTTCCATGTATTGTGACTTTGTAAGAGAGGTAGTAACTGGAGTCACATCACAGCTATTGGCATTATCTAGTGTGCATCTGGGTCATGGGGTCAGCACTTTTCCTGGGGTCAGTTATTGTCATGAAAAGACAGCTGGTGACCTCATTAAAAACCTAAAATGCCAGCTAGATCACTTCCCAGGGAAAATAGAGATTGCATAGCAACTATTCCACATTTAAAACTGTACAGGTGTGTGAGTGTGGGGAGGTGGCAAGAGGTACAAGACAGAAGGGAAGGTGAAGCAGAGGGCAGAGGATCTGCAGGCCACAGAAGGACAGATGCAGAGAGCATGGGTTAAGAGAGTCACTTGTTTTCCTATGAGGATTTGGCACGCACTGAAGCTTGACAAATGAACTTTCAGTAGACACATTAAAGTGTTTCCAATATGGGCCACTCACTGTGCTGGAAGGCAAGAACTGAGTGCCCCATACATTTATCTTTCAGGTTGCAGGTGCCCATCTGTTGAGGATGTCCTGAGCCTGCTCCCTCTACAACCCTTCCAGAATTTATTATTTGGCCTTCCTCAAGATCCCCTCTTGTCTGTCTGTGATCCAGTTATTGCAGTAGTTCTCAAATCAATACCTTTAGATCAAAAATCTCACATTAGTGCCAGTCTTATTCTGCTCTCTACCTATGTATTAGCACCACTAGATAATATTATTTTAATGTTATCTTTCAAAAGCACACTTAGCACAAATCCCCCTCCCTAATTCACTCCTTTTCTTTCATTGGCATTGCTAATGTCATTCCATGACTTAAATTTGAAAGTAATTTTTCACTCTTCACAATAATCATCCTCAGTCTTCACAAACAAAAGCAATAACAAGATTTCTCACTGGCCTTCCAGCCGCAAATATTTCCCTGCTTCAATTCATGTCCAATAAATCAATAGTCTGATCTTTTAAAACTACTGCCATCAAGTCATGATTTGCCTACAGACCAGGGAGGGTTCTTGTTCACCATTCAGAGTGTTTACAACCCTCTCATTTGGCATTGGAGAGCTTTAGACAACTGCCCCTCATCCCTAAACTAAGCAGAATCTATACTTGTCTTTATTCATGTTTGTTTGAGCACTGTGATACCAGCCACTCTCTTTATCACCCACTATCTCCACTTTCCAGCATCCTCCTTTCTCTTCAAGGAAGTCCTACGTAGGGTTCCCTGCCACCACCACAATGTCTTTGCTCCTATTCTTGCACCTCCAGGAATCTCCTCTAGATATGATATTTTTTCCAAGATGCACCTTCCCTTGAAGGTTTACCACATGAATGAATCTCAGATCACAAGCATCTTTCCCTTTTTCTGAATTCCCTCAGCATTATCACACTAGATATCAATAGGTAAGCATTGTTCTCTTATTATTTTACAAGTGTTCATTGGGATCTAAGCTTTAAAAGGGCAAGGGGCCAGATCTTAACTGGGCAAGGACAGATGCAAGGCTAGTGAGAGCCTTGATTTTGCACGTAGCCCATGGACAAGGCCTACTTGCTGCAGTGTAGGCAATAAATATGCACGGAGGAGCTAAGACCTCCTCCTAGCACAAGGGTTGGAGACTCGGCCATATTTTGAGAAGTGTTTGTTAAATGTTGAATTAATTTTTTCAGAACTAATTCAAGCTCCCTTATATACCTCATGCTCCTCTTTAACAGAAATTTCTATTGGATTCATCCAAAATACAACAGCCATTGTAATCTACCAAGTCTCAATCACTATTCAGATTTGAAATCCTTGACTCTTTTTGCCACAATGTTAGGTCCAATGGAGACAAGAAGGTGCCACCTCAGCTGTCTGTATCAAAAGTTGTCCCTACACAAGCAACTATCTACAAGTTTGCACCAGTTCATGCCCTTGAACCAAAGGTTGTCTTTCTGACTCTGATACATGCCAGATATTTATTGGAAAATGTGTAAAGCCAGCTCCCCTCTCCCTTGGCCCAGTTGCACAAAGTCTTGTTCAAATCTGGAACCCAGCCAGGTAATGTGCAGCCCCTTGCAGAAATCAGGGAAAATGTCTCTTTCCCCCAGAGTCCTCAGGAGTGCAGAGAGGGAAATGGACTTACCCTCACGCAGAAGTTCATGCCCATCCCCAACAGGGGCTGCAGAAAGTGTCTGTCCTGCCTGCTTTTGGGGGTTGGTTCTCCAGGACCAGGAAGTGGGCAAGCATCAGGGCTTAAGGAGGTCACCCTGTGTCCCAACAGGTCCGGCTGCCTTGCAGGTGCAGACCCGATTTTATTCAGACTGCTTTCAGGGGATGCCGGGCTACTGGGATCCGGATCCTGGCTTTCTTGGAGCTTCAGCCGGGGCACCTCTTTGGTACCCAGACAAAAGTTTTTCAGACTCAATAAAGTGGCAGGGTTGGCCAGCTTCATACTGGCCATGCGGGGGATCAAGGTGCACAGTGGGGTGGGGCTCTCCTGGGTCGGCAAGGTGGCATCTTCAGCCGGCAGGTGAGGTGCCAGACCAGGGTGGGGTAGCTGCGGCGAGCCCTTGTTCCCGACAGAGACTCCAGGACTGCCTTCATCCAAAGACGTGATGGACTCGTTCCGAAAGCGGCTGTACTTGGCCCTGTGCAGCATCCCGGGGTGCCCAAAGAGTCCTACATACAGCACGAGTCCTGCCAGGCTGTCCTGGCCGCGTTCTCGCATAGCCTTGGCAGTGCTGAAACAGGATATTGTAGCATAAATCGCTTCGTTGTCTGGCAGATAACCGGTATGGACATCAAATGCCTCAACGCCCCGTGCAATTCGCAAACCGTAGCAGCCACCTCTCTAATTCTGCTCTAACCCTTGCCCGCCTCGGCTCCGGACGCTTAAGGATGACAGCCCAGCGGGAAACGCCTCCCCATCTCTGATTTCAGTCCCTCCCTGACCGAGGCAGGGGCCCGGTGCTCTCGCCTCGGATTCCTTGCTGGGAAAGCCTGCACCCAGGCTACCAGCGACAGGGATCCCTCACAGCCAACTCTTCCGAACAGAACCCAGTAGAACACTAGCCAGCCGGTCCAGCTGCATCTCTAGCCTTGCAGGAATCTAGCAGAAATATGTAGCACGCACCCCCCCCCCCCTTCCCCCAGCCTCCCCTTCTGCTCACAGGAACTTTCAAACCTGCTCCCACAGGGCGGGGCAATGACTGGCCTATTAACCCTTTATCTGTTCCAGTGATTGTTCATTTAAAGAGGAAAAATATAATGTATATATGAGTCAAAGGCCCTTCTGTCTGGGTTCTTTGATTCTGATGGCTGCCCTCTCTTGGAAGATCTGGTCTTGCATCCCATTCTGGGCCACAAGCCAGGAGTACTAGCGACAGGCGCTGCTCCGCATTGTTTCACTGACTCCCGATCCCTCCATTCTCCCCCACCCCACCCCGCCGTGTTCCTCAGATTCCCTCCCAGCCTGCCCACCCTGGCTCAGAGCTTCCCTCCCTCCCGGACTCTTGGAGCTTCTTTCAGGAGCCCATTCGCAGCAGAAGGCTGAGATGTGCAGAATGATAAGCAGAGTGTTGAAATTTTTATGAATGAACTTTGCCGAATGAATTTCTCTCCGTGTGTGCAAGCTAATAAATCTGTGAATGAAGCTGAGAATAGCTGTAATTGACTGACGGTCTCAGGGGTGCTTGGTTTTTATCCAATCAGGCAGCAGCTCGATGACTCATGCACCATAAATATACTAAACTAGTAGCCGGGAGAAATAGATGGGGGGGGGGGGGTGTATTTTATTTTGTGCTGTCTGATGAATGAATGGGTTAAAAGGAAAGGCAGTCTTTACTATAGAATATCAGAAAGCTGGTAACAGCAGGTTAAAAGATCTATTTTCTTTCTTGTTGAGATGGCTGGGGAGATCCAAGCACAAAAGATAAAGATTAGATACATTGTCCCGGATATTAGGGCATATGGTACACAAACAACTCCTGTGGGAAACCAGTGATGCATTTTTCTTAGAAACATAGTTCCTTTTTTTTTAAATATTGATTGCTGGTTCCATCTTCCGTCTGGTGCAGCTTCCTGAACCTATCAAATGTATTTGAAGACATGATGATAACTGCAAGAGGCTTAGCCTACAGGAAGCCAGGACCGGAGCTGGGCAGAGGAAATGCAGGTTCTTTCAGGAACAGAGAAGAGGAAAATGCTGAGACACTGGGCTGAGGGCTGGGAGGGGATGAAAATCACCTGGTGGAAGAGATAAGAAAATGGCTAAACCTTGCATTTCTCTGTGGGTCAAGGCTCTGGTATCTGAAATTGTTCATTAATTCAAAAATTAAAGCAAACTAGTAACTAAGGGAACCAGGGATGTGCCTTGATGTCTCACTGACCACAGGCTGCATTAGGCTTATGGGTATTAACGACTTTAATAGACTGAGTTCACCAGGAATGCAAACACAGGTATGGAATTAGATGATTGCTGGTGACCCTTTGGGAAAGGCATCCTCTTGGGCTTCTTACTCCTCCACGGGAAGAATAAATCTTTTTGCATCTTGTCTGCTGCTAAGTGTCCTCCCCCCACCTCTACCCCAATCCTCCCAAATGCCTTCTGCATCTTTGTGAATCTTCCTTCCAATCCTTGCTGACCTTCATCCATCCCCAAACCTCCTCCTGACAAAGCTGAGGGTAGAGGTAAATAAGTCATATCCCTGGGGCTTAGGAAATAGGCTCTATAAGATTGTTATCTCTTATTCCTCCCTGTTCCTTTTTCTGTCTTTTCCTTCTCTGCCTTGTCCTACCCTAGGCTCCTTCCTCACTGCCTCTAGTGACTATCTCATGAGGTACTGCCTTGAGAAAGTTACTTTACCTCTCTGTGCCTGGATGTCCTCATCTGTTAGGAGCAGCTATCTAATGGAGATATTAGGAGGGATTATGAGACAATCCTAATCCCTGAGAGGTCTTGGCACAGTGCTCCAGAGAATGGCTGCCTCACTTAAGTACATGATGGAGAGAGAGTATTTTTAAAAGACTACTGGAACCAAGCTCCTCCCTCTAAAACTGGTATTCTTAACCCTATACCATCCTAAACAATTAAAAGGCACAAAATTGGGGAAAACAAGAAAACCAACCTTGTCCAAAGAAACATTTTCCTAACAATCATATGGGCCTGAGAACAGTGGCCAGAGGGCTGCTGGTTGTGAATCCTAATGGAGGACTTTGTTTTTGTAGGACTCATTGACTTCCAGAGCCCAAACCAACCTCCATTCTTCAGAAGGAATTCTGGGAGAGCTGTGGGTGAACCAGGACAGTAAGAAAGCAGGCAGGTCACTGCCCAGGAACCTTGGAGACCTTGATTCTCCTAGGTACCTCAGCCATGGCTGCTCATGAAAGTGAAAGAGCTCAGATCTGCATCTGAGCAGTGGGGTAAGCCTCCAGTCAGCCAGCCAGAATGGCTGGGCAGCTTTCAGTCCAAACACAGGGCTGAAAAGATGTCTCAACAGCTCATGAGAATGCTTGTTAATTAAGTGGATTTCTATTCCAGGTAGGTGGTATACAAGGTAGATGGTTTGCTTTTCTTCCAGGACATTAAAACATCCTCTTCAACAGGTAATAACAAACATAATATGAATTAGAGCTACTATTTATGAAACACCTGACAGTTCACCTATATTCCTATCCAGTTGTAACTCTTGGAGGCTGTGACTGTGTTCATTTACAGATGTGGAAATGAGGCTGAGACGAATGCTTGGTCCATGTCTCCCCACTTTTGAACAATGATGCCAAGACCCCTCCAGCAGCTCTGCCTCACTGCAGAGCCAGTGTCCTAACTTCTGCATTCTGCGGCCTCCCACGGGAGCAGAGAGCCTAAGACCAAGTTCTGGGCCTATGTTGAGGACCACACCATCCTGCTGTTTCCCAGGACTCTGGGACACAATTGAGCAGAAACAGAGTTGGGGAGTTCTTTGAGGTCACTGCCACTAGTGACTATCTCATGAGGTACTACCTTGAGAAAGTTACTTTACCTCTCTGTGCCTGGATTGTTGAGAACCTTATGCTGCCCTCACAGATCAATGACAGAGGGGTCTAACAGAATATCCCCTGCTTATTGTTCTTCCTGTCACTACCCGCACCAATACACACACACAATTTCCAGGGGAAGTGTTTTTAGCCCAAAGATAATCTCTCAAAGTGAGGATGATACTTAATGACTCAAGAAACTTTGGTACTTGGACTACTACCCACAAGCAGTGTGTACTAGCAGCATAGTGTAGTACAAAGAACATGAGCTAAGGAGGTATAGAGTAGGTGAAGGGTTTTCAGTCAGTTACCTAACCTCTCTGACACTCAGTTTCCTTATCTGTAAAACAAGCCTGGTAAGAGATAATATCTGCTGGGCCCAAACTAAGCAATTCATATGTGAACCTCCCAGCAACTCCATGCAGCAGGTGCTATTTATCATTCACTGACTTGTCCAAGTCAGAGAGCTAGTAATTAGCAGATCTGGGTAGATGTGAGCACTGACTCACTCCAACCCCAGGCCCTTAACCGCTGTGTTACAGTCCAGAGTTTGCAAGGACCTAACTCCTGCTTCATGTTCACTAAATGTTCGTTTTTGCTCTCTTCTCCTCTTTGGACCTCTGACCTAAAGAAAATCCACCCTAAATACCTCATAAGGAAAAATATGAATCACAGATAAGAAAAACTGTGATTGTCATTAAAGGACCAAAGAACCATGAACCCCTTACATCCTCATCCTTGGCAGAGACAGCTTTACTCAGGCTATCTGGTGTGCCTCCTTTGCTCTGAGATGTGCCCCTCCTGTGTACCTGCTGTGAATCAGCACACCAGTTTCCTAAGGGGCAGCCTGCTCTGGTGGGTTGAGCTGGGTCAGGCAGGGACTTGCTAGAATTAGCCAGGTAGGAGTAGTGGGAGAGAAGAGAACCTGGCCCAAAACAAACAAACAAACAACAACAACAAAAAAAAAAAAAAAAAAAAAACCCACAATGTCATTCAGAGCTTGAAGTTAATCTAGCGTGGAATTTGGGGTGGAAGAAGGGTGCATTGGAATGTATGGGGAGGTGTAGGCAGAATAAAGCAGAAGTTACTCTGGAGGACTGTAGCCAGATTGCTACTTTGGAATGAAGTAGAACAGGGGCCATCAGAATGCGATAGCACAAAGAGGCCACCCCAGCCCACCACCAGCATTTCCATTACAATGGAGAATCCTTACACACATGGCCAGCCAGCAATATGCAAGATGAGCCCACCAGTGAGCAGTGGCAATGTGGCTGAAGCTGTAGTTCAGGAGGGAAGAACTCCTGGAAACGATATTTATATAAAGTGACAGTGCAAAGAGAAATCTGCCCCCACCTCTCAAGGAAGCCATGTCACAGGAGGGAGTCTGGGGGGATTATCACAGGAATGTGACTACCCACCTATTTCATATCATTCTAAAACTTGATCTACCTCTTTTCTAGGGAGGACAATGTATACAGTGAGCAAGGGTGGCTTTGTGTGAAGAGGAAGTCTCCCAGGGAACAGCCACCTGTCTGGGTCAGGTGTCAGACCCCTGATCTCTTCTTGTGCATGGAAAGGTCCCTCTGAAGCAGACAGGGGAACATGAGATGGAAATGCTCTGTCTGGGGCTGGGGCTGCGGCTCAGTGGTAGAGCACTTTCCTTGCATATGTGAGGCACTGGGTTCAATCCTCAGCACCACATATAAATAAATAAGTAAAATAAAGATACTGTGTCCAACTACAACTTAAAAGAAAAGAAATGCTCTGTCTGCATCTGACACTTTTTGGTGTAGAGAGATGTCAATTTCTTTGACAAAAGGACAGCTTTTCAGAGCCATTCCTGTGACTATAATTTCTCTGAATAAACAATTCAGAATATACCAAGGAAATGTATTTGAGGTGGGATATTTTACTCTTCTGCAATGGAGACCAAAACACCATTTTAAGATTGGGGAAGTGGGGGCTGGGGTTGTGGCTCAGTGGTAGAGTGCTTGCCTAGCATGTGCGAGGTGCTGGGTTCG